TAGGCAACTCATTGTTTCGCAGAGTTAGAGTCTTTGTTCAGAGGCCCTGGCGAGAAACGCCCAAAAGGCACGTCGATGCGAAGGCGGCTCCAAGCCCCACGGCGGCTCCCCATGCGCGTGAGTGAGCTTGAACATGTCGGCCAGTTGCTATGCATCGCCCGGGGGTCGGGGGCGCGGTTCCTGTTCTTTGCCCGTCTTCTTGGTGAAATGGATCGAAGAAAGAAGGCCATTGGTCAACACCACGGAAAAAGGATGCTTCTTTGCTTCATCCTGTTTTCAGCACCTCTTGTGATCCCAGTGTTTGATCGTCAGCTTCGTAGCGACCTCGCAGGTTTCCATGCTCGCGAGCATGGCGCGGCCATCTCAAACAGTGGGTGACCAAGGCTGTTTTGGCGTTGAGATCTTTCTTCCCCTTGAAAGAAGCAGCCTGATGTAATGGCTTTCACCTGCTTATTTTGGAGTCTTTCCTCCATGAGGGTGAATAGATTCGAAGGCTTGGGGCAGATCACGTTCAAGATGCTAGGCTGGAAATCGGACTCTGTGCCTCGCCGCACTCAGGGTCCGTCTGACTTTGGCCGAGCTCTTCTGATTGAGCTGCGAGCTTTGAAGGCGATCTGGGAAACGCGAAGTAAATGCGCCGATCACAGACTCTTTCATGATCGAGATCCAGCCTACAAGACCCCTTGGTTGAACCTTGAGTATTTCATCATCCAGGAAGTTCGGGTCACCATGCAAATGATGTGGGATGGTGCACTTGAGTGGGCAGGTCTGAAGAAAAGACAAAGGGCCTTCCCCGGCTTCGGTGAAAGAACGTTCAATGCCATGGACATTCGATGGCGGATTTCGTCGTTTTCATCGGCAGGGCCTGGACAAGGATGTCCATCTTAGTCTTCAAGATGACGACCTGCGTTCGGATGCAGAGTTGGGTCACGTTGCTTTGGTTCAACCATGTTCCACTTGGCTTGGTTTGATTTGGTAGCTTGCAGACTTTTTATCTCCAAACAACCTCACCAAAGCGTTTCCTTTTTTATTCTTGAGACTTCGCCGGAGTTTGCAGCAGTTGAACACATCTTAATTCTATTCCTTCGACAGTTTCCCATTTTCAGCACTGGCCTGGCGCAGAACCAAGTATTGTGCACCTTTTCATGACTTTTGTTACATATTTGAAGGTTCCCACACAACTTCAGAGCAAGCAGGCTGCGGCGATGCTCCTTTTCACAGAACGCACTGGCATGCACTAAGACCGCCACGCTGCGCGGGACGCACTGCGTGCTGAAGCCCTGGGCGAGTTGGATCAAATGGAGGTGGGAAGAAGACCAACCTCGCCTCACAAGAAGCTACTAGGAGCAAAGGGCATCGCTACTAGGAGCAAGGACGCTACGAACGGGGCTCCTGGCATCGCCTCGTTTGCGTCTTCGTCTCGACTGGACGTTATCCTTTCGGGCGCTCCCAGGTGCCGCACTTCCATCCAAACGGGCCGGGTGGCGGGCCCGAGATGAGTGAAGAGTCGAACGGGGACAGGGCCCACGGTCGGCCCACGGTCGGCCCACGGTCGGTCTCGTCAGCGCGAGGTTTGAGAAATCACATAATGATTTCAACATAGTTTGATGGAATTCTGGTAGTTCATACTTGGTAGTTCCTTGTTCGTTCTTCAACAAAGACTTTGTTTCACTGTGCTTCGATTCAACTTCTGCACGGAAATGCAGCAGGACATGCAGTTGTTTTGTTGTTAGGTCTGACTCAGCCGCAGCTCAAGAGATTGGCAACGGAGCTTTACTCCGAGGTGGGATGTGGGACTGTTAGCAGTTACTAGGCATCCCACATCATTCCCACATCATCCCACTATTCGCATGGTTTGGGTCCAGGTGGTGCAAGATTTCTGGCATCTTCCGGCATCCAAAATGGCAAGAACGGCCCAAACCGCGGTGCTCGCAGGATGCAGTGACGCTCATCCAGCCCTATGTGATGAGTCTCATCGAACCGCCTGGGAGCTCAAACGGAGCTTGACCGGAGCTCAACCGAAAGGCCAGGCTTTTCTGGCATTTGGACAGGGTGAGATAGGTTGAGGTTGGATGAGGATCAGTTCATGAACCCAACCCACTAGGCATGTGTATCGGGACATGTAGACCATTGTGGACCTTGCAAAATCGACTCTTGCTGAACCTCAACCGGACATTTGATCACGGGCAAACACACGAAGATCTACAAAACACAGCATATAGGGCATCAATAAATCCTACTGACCATTAGGTCCCTCTGAGTCTTTTTCCCTTTTGAACACAAAACCGTTGGGCTGTGCCCGGCTGTGCCCGGCTGTGCCCTCTGTTGCGGTCCAACTCAGGTGGGACCATCTTGTTCGGGCTCGGGAAGCCCAGCGAAGTCGATAGCGTGACCCTGTCGCGCAGCTGTGTAGCTGGTGATTGAAATCACGAAAGGACCCACCAACGACAGGGATTTCCTTTTGCTTCTTCCATGATGGATTTCTGTTTTCCAAGGCTGTATGTTAGTAACTGTCTGTTTCTTGGAGGCCCCTGGGTCCTCTGTCTTGTTTGTTCTGCAGCAGAACAAGCTCTGAAGAAACAGCTCTATCAAAGATGTATGAATTTTTAGATGAGCTCTCAGTCGTGATGGGTGGCCCTTCGAGAAGCTGTGTATCGCCTGGAAGAAGCTGTGATAAGAACCGAATCCAAACGATGGCTCGATGGATTTGGGTTTGGTGGCTGGGTGCGTATAGGTTTTGACGAGCAAAATCCGATGTTTTCCTGATTTGAGAGCGCAAGGCCCAATGCTGGCCGGATTCTGGCACATTTGTTTTCAACTATGATTCATATTATGACCTAGTCTCTCAAGCTTCACTTTTAGTGTCCCCAGACTCAGGTGAGCATGTTTGTTTCATCCTGCACCTGGAAGTTGATTCCATCAAGTGAAAAAAGTGTAGCCCGTTCAACTCCATCCACCAAATTCTGCCTTGCCTGATGAGGACTTTAGCCTGACTCTCGCGGTCTTTCAGTTGGCACAGGCCTATTCTTGCAGATCAAAAAGGGTCCAAAATGTCCAAAAGGTCCGTAAACTGTCCAAAAGGTCCTCGGTTTTGAACGACCGACTCTTCCGATTGGACAGAGACATCGACTCATGCGGAGGTGGGGTGGCTGGAGGGATGGACGTCGCCAGGTCTATTGGACCTCGTCGCTCTTCGGCTATTCCTTGCGACAAGCGGAGTTGCCGGGGCCACCACGGAGAGCACTGGTGAAGGGGTCATGATCGGGGTTCGCTGTTTGCGGGGTGTGAGATGATGCGGGATGGAATGAGTATTGAGACGGCATATTGAGATGCTTTGTTTATCTTGCAGTTCAGGATCAGTTGTACATGTCCGCCATGAGGTTTGAATCTGCAATGAGGATCAGTTGTACATAGGAAGGTTTGAATCTGCCATGTTCATGTCCGCCAACGTGAAAAAGCACGGAGCTTCCGTGCTTCAACATCGGACCTTCGAGCCTGACCATGTCCCCAGTGTTCTGTCCAGGATGAACCTGAAATGTCTGAGGCGATTTGCGCTGGAGAAAGCAGCTGGAGAGGCCGGGAGACCAGTCCATTCCGATCGCTGCGCAGTCCCATGCGGTGAACGTGGGTGGTGGACCGGTGCGAAGCAGAGCAGCGAGGGTTCGGTATCTCTGCAGCCACTGGTTTTCCAAGCCGCACAGCCCGAACGAAGATAGCAAGCTGAGGAGCAACATTCTCTATTGAACAAAGCCAAGCACAGGATTCATGAAGACCATGTTACTCGCAGTACCTGCAGATCAAGAGACTAGACAGGCGTTCGACAGGTCCCTTTTTGGGGGGTCCTGGGTTGTGCGACAGTTTTCCTTGGCGCCCAAAGTTGAGCCTCACAGAATCGATGCAAAGCATCGATGTGGTGCTGCTGAGCGGGCAAACTGCGACTGTCATTGGAGATGCAGATCTTACAGTGCAGGAGCTGAAGCAACATGCGCAGCAACAGCTCCAGGCGCAACCAGAAACACATAAAAACAACACGGATAAAGCGCAGCAGCCTTCTGACTACTGGCATTTCTTGTCACTAAACCAAGGCAGCAGGATGTCCAGGACGTGTTGGCCTTTGCACCACAGGTCCCTTTCGAAAGCGCTGAGGTGAAGCTCATGGACCTCTTTTGGGGCTATGAGAAATTAGAGCCCTGGAAGACTCTGGGCAGTTTAAAGATTCCACCTGGTGAAGTGGTCGCTTGGCTCGAAATAGGTGGAGGGAAGACATAGTGAAGACATTAGAGACGCAGTGCTATTGATCTGGAAAAATCTATCAGAAGTACATAAAAGTACTACCATAATAATTGACATCATAGATTTCTGGGTAATCAAACCACCAGACCCCGCACCGAGGTCAGTGCCAGCGTGTGGCGGCCGAGGCTTTGCGCGAGCAAATCCCACAGCGACGCCTTCGCCGTTCTGGAGGACGCCTGCGACGGGCCTGACGGGCCTGACGGGGGGACATGCCCGATGGGCCCCCGACGGGTTGCGGTTCCAATCTCCACCTCTTTGCCTTTGAAACCAACGCTCCACCCCTTTCCCGAACGAAAAGGAAACGGCCGGAGGGGAGGTGATCCGACCGAAGGTCTGTGGCGTGAAACGGCGCAGTTCTCGGAGTGCCCAGGAGGATGCAGTTCTCTGGGGAGATCCGTTGGTGGAACCCATGAGCCGACTGGAGCTCCCAGAAGTGCAAGAAGTGAAGATCTCCTCAGGTGCGGGCATCGAACGATTCACCGACCGGTTCGTCACAAAATGGGAGGCGATCTGAAGACTGGGTCGCTTCATTTACCAATGTCCGTAAGTCTCGGGATCCCTGGGAGCGATTCTGGGACGGAAATTCGGAGGGGCACGACAGAATGAATGAATTCGATTGATGAAAAACGGATGCCTTCCACGGATGCCCACGTGCCACCGAACGAACAGTCGCGTATTGTGAGGCGCCTTTGCAGCCCTGCTGTCGGATGGATCGATCTATGCCTGGGGGGGCCTTCTTCTCTGGAGGCCGAAACACTGGCATTTGCCTGATAAATGGCCTGGTGAGGTCTCAATTCCAGAATTTTCAAAAGAGGACCAGTTATGACTCATATGACCAGTCCAGTTTAGGGGTTTATCTTAGAATCTTTCCTTTCCGTTCCAAGTTTGGATGGCCAGGTCATCTGGGATCCAAGCGAAAGGACTTGTGGCAGGCGGCAGGGTCGCGTTAGAACTTAGCGTCTGTGAGCGAGCGACAGAGCGGACGGGGTGGATAGTGTCGCAAAGGATTCAGCAATGGAATTCAGCAAACGGCGTTGGTAGTTGGAGGTTGCATCAGTTGCTCGTGCCCCAGTAGAATGCGCTGAGCTCAAGAATGAACCTTTTAAAATAATGTACACTCCACTCAGGCCAAAGCTTTGTTTTGCCTCTTGACTGAAAGCTCGAAAAGGCCATAGATGCTCCCCCCCCGAACCAGTCCTTTGAGTCTGAGGTAACCTTACATACCAGAGCCACCCAGAGCCACACACCTGGTCAGACCTGATGCACGTGGCGATCTCCAGGTCCAGCAACTGGAGGCGTCTCACCGGGCCTTCGCAGCCTTGAGATCGGATGGGCGCGTCATCACGTGGGGCGACGTCGTCTTCGGAGGCGTCGGGGAAGATGAGGGGAAGAGTGGAAGAGTCGAGTCGAGATGTTCGAGCCTCCCAAAAGCGAGTTGATTTGGAATTTTAGAACAAAACACGCTCGTAATTAGGTTGGAGGCCATCGCCGTACGTTGGAGGCCATCGCTATAGCCATTCAGACTTAATGGAAACACTTGGCATGTCCCTTGAGGTCAGTTGCCAATCTAGCAAGACTAAGAACCAGGTGGTGTGTAGTGTGTAGAACCAAAGCCCGAAGGCATCAAGGGCAAATCGGCGGCATGCTGACTGCAGTATCAAATGCATTCGCTTTGTTACATGGTACGACGCAGAACCGTTCGGCTTTGTTACATGGCACCGGCCGAAATCGCAAGCACCAGGTGACAGCAGCGAAGTGGAAGATGAACTTCAGCAGGTGTCAAGGGTTGAGATGTTTGAAGCAGGGTTCGTGTCGGTTCTGTTCCGCCAGAATTGGCTGAGCCACATACGGCCTTTCTTTTGGAGCGTTCCAGACATTTTCCTGTAAGTTCGGCAGTAAAGAGTGGATAGGTCGGCCATTTGAGCCAAGTGAGGTGCGCATGTGCATTGACATCGATATGAATTCGTAATGTGAGATTCCTAGTAAGAAGGGGCAGGGGTAACCTCTCCAATTTGTTTTTTCTTGGGGGTTTTGGTACCCCAAAGAATAGTTTCTTCTGGAGTTCATTTCATTTGCTTTCATTCTGATTTCACTTGCTTTCATTTACTGAGCCAGGAGCCAGAATAGGAAGAGGGTCGAACATTATGAACCTCCTATGTATTGTTGATCCTGGGCACTTGTGAGGGGCCCTTAGCAAGACTGTTGAGGGGAAGCTTTTCACAAGAGGTTTTACCAAAAAACCTTGGGATTTGGATGGATTTTGTTAAATAGAAAAGTAAAGGAAACCATTCCAGAGCAAGCCAGGAGCCAGGAAAAGAATCTGCAGCATTTGAAGGGTCAGATTTGGGGCCTGAATTTTATGATTGTGGATCCTGCTTGCTATGCGGATTAGAATTTCATAGTTTTGGCTTACCTGCCTAATACGAATTAAACGTTACCAAGAATTTGCACAGACTCCATCGAAATCCATTAAAGCTATGGGCAGTTGCCCTTCAAGCTTGTTGGCAGTGAGATGCAGTCACCTCCTTCTTGCATTCTGTTGCGCATTTGACGTGAGCATCAGATACAGAGACCAGAGGTTTGGTGTTTTTGATGTGTTTTGGTGTGCAACTTGGGAGCTTGGGACATCCGCTTGCTTACCACATCCATGTGGTACAGAAAACACGCGCATCATCACCTGTGGCCTTTGGACGCTCTCACTGGGGCGGTGGTCTGGCCGTTGGAAGGATCAATTGATTGATATTGATTGTTCCCCCGGACCACAGTCCAACAGGAGCTGCAGGTTTGGGAATCCCACAGTTGTTTGACCTGACGGACCCGTTTCCAGTCTCGCTCAAGTCTCCTGGAAAACAAAGTCGGACACTTCTATCATGAACACACACACACGCACTAACGTGCGTCATCTGTGTTATGCCGCTTCGGAGACGTCGCCTTCGACAAGAGGCAGAACATGTCCTTCGACCTGTCAGGTGCGCAAGATCTTTGCCTCGCGCCGAGCCTTTGCTGCTCTTCGCGAGGATGGTCGCGTGGTGACCTGGGGCGATGGCGCCTTCGGGGGCGATAGCAGCGACGTGCAGGTCGGTCCGGTCGTCCGAGTCCGTCGGACGACGGGTGGCGACGGGTGGCGCATGCGGCTATTTTCTTTTTTGGGAGAAGACGGAGACATCGACCAAGTGGATAGACCACGGATGGAGGTAGAGTTTTAAAGTATAATTAGATTCTACATGAATGAATCGACATCATAGACTTACATTTTCAGTCTCTCAGACTGATGAACCTCTTCTCGTTCGGTTCCTAAAAGTTCGGTTTCAGTGCCTACTCGTTCTTATTTGTTCTTACAAGTTTGTTACCCTCTTTCGGTTTCACCTCCTTCGTCTCGAGAAAGTCTGGATTTTCGTCTCTCGCCAGCTAAGAAGCTGGCTGGTGGAGTGGTTAAGGTCCCTAAATTGCTCGTGGTTTAGTGCTAGTCTCGCCAGCTAATCTCTCTGCTCTTTCTTTCCAGGAAGAGCTGATGGATGTGGTCCACATTGCAGCCACCGAGCGCGCGTTTGCCGCGCTGTCGGCCGACGGGCGCGTCATCACCTGGGGCGACAGGGCCTTTGGCGGACACTGCGGAGCACCGGAGGCGCGCTTGAGAGATGTGCGGATGATCCAGGCCGGGCACAAGCTGAAGGTATCTTGGGAAGATCATCGGTTTTCAGAGGTGCAGGGAAGACAAAGGGATGAGTAGATGTTGGATTTCTTGAGATTCAAGACTAGGGCCACAGGGTGCTCATGGCTTGGTTGACATGAAGCGTGGAGGCATGGATGTTCGCTTGATCAATGGGTGGGTGAAGATGGTGAAGATACCACTTGATCGATTTGGGTGGATGAAAAGGCCCAAAGTAAATATAGACAAAAACAACATCCAATACTGGATACATCGTGATATCTTCGGTGCCATTTTGAATGCAAGGCTTCGCACCGGGCCTTTGCCGCTTTCTCCGCCGAGACGGGCCTTGTCTCCTGGGGTGATCCAGATTTCGGAGGTGATAGCCGCGCAGTGCCGCAGGATGTGCACGTGCTGAACATTCAGTCCACAGCAGGTGGGAGTTTGGCACAAAAAGCACAAAAAGAAGAAGGGACTGCAGCTTTTTTGCCTGACAAATGGTTTTCGGCCCATCCACCTGGAAAGATTTGGAAGGAAGGTCTTTTAAAGTCCGCGTGCCTAAGTTTCCGGTGTGTCCACACTGTTCGCCGTTTCAGGTGCCTTTGCAGCCATTCTGGACACTGGAGAGGTGATTTCCTGGGGTCATGCAGACCTGGGTGGCGACTCGACTGCGGTGCACGACGCGCTCCAGCAGATTCAGCAGATTGAATCGACCTCCGGCGCCTTCGCAGCGATCCGTGCGGATGGGCAGGTGATCACCTGGGGCAGCTTCTTCGCAGGCGACGAGCAGAGGGTCGCGGAGGGTCGACGAGTCGACGGGCCTGTGGCGCGGTGGCGCGGTGGCGCGGTGGCCATCTTCTCCTCGATTTTCCAATCCCAAAAATAGATGAAGCCTAGCAGGACACTTAAGGATCAAGCACTGTGGGTCTCTGACAGACATTAACCTTTATTGAGGGATAGTCGTTCGCTCGGACAAGTGGGTGGATTCATTCTTGGACAAAGATCAGGTGTCTTTTTTACAGCGTTGCTTTGGACTCGGCCGATTCCAAACGGGTCCAAAACCGTCAACTCCACGGGTTTCTCGGTTTCTCAAGCTGGGCATTTCAGCGCCTGGGACCGAAAGGCTCTTCAGATTGGAAAGATGTGTGGCACTTGCGTGACTTTGTCTGTGTTTGGGGTCATCTTCTCTAGGATGGCCGTGAACTCTGACAATGCTGTGGAGGAAAGACATGTAAGCCAGCTGGAACCACCTTGCCGTTGCCTATGAGCTTCGTTCTATACCATCATCAATAGATTATCCCATGGGTCCACTTGCCTGATCTTACCACCAAAACGCTCCTGATTCGAGCTCGGAGTTTTCTAGAGCTCGCCCTGGAGGTGCGGATAACAGTGCTGTGCTGTGCAAACCCGAAGATTTAAAAGGCAGCGCCAGTAGTTTTTTGGCCTTGAAGGATGGGCTGCTCACTGCCTGGGGTCGTGGCACTTTCGGCGACCGAAATTCAGGGCCACCCTTCGACCCCGGTGACATCGAGGACACGTGCGAGGTGCAAAGTCCAGACTCTCCTTCGGACAGCCAGCAGTGCTAAGTGGTATTTGAAAGATCAACGTCTTTCGGGCGCCTTTGGTTCCTATCCTGCATTCTGTTCGAAGGAGAAGGGAAGCTTCTAGGCCACTCCTTGGAAAACCAAGGATGTCTTGCCTGAAACTTCTCTGGCTGTGGCTCAGAAATAAGTGCGGACCTCTTGGGAGTTTAACTGTGGTTCATATCGCATACAGTGCGCAACTTCCAAGCGGAACTACAGTAGATCCAGAGCAGATGGCATATGTCACCCATGTCCGCACATGTCACCCAGATCTTGTCGTTCATTCCATTTACCACCTGTGTTTTGAGCACTCGATCTCATTCGGCGTTACTCTGGACGGCTCAGCATCGCAAGGCTGAAAGCACCCTCAGCGAGTATGTCACCAAGCTGGGCGTAGAGGAGGCACAGTTGGACCAGTGGGCAGTCTCACCAATTGTCGGACCCAGCGATCGATGTTTTGAATGGCTGGACCATGCTAGATCCGGTAATTGCGTCGACTGATGCTCTCACGTGCCATGCCTCTAGTCTATACCTAATGCTTCAGGCCTCCAGGCAAGTGCTTTTCAGAGTTTGGTCAAAAACTCTTACTTTCTTGCTACTACTCACGTGAAACGCCACACTTAAAGCCAAAAGCAGAAACGAAGTGACACATGTATTTTGTAATTGTAGTCCCTTATTGACAGAACGTGTCAACCACAGATGTGTAGTTGTTGTGCTGCTCCTTCGCAAACCTCGCCCCACTGATGTGTAGTTGTTGCATACTTTTTGGACATCCATGCCATGTGTCGACCGTTCTGGATCCTGGCAGGTGTTGCTCCTTTCTTCTGGCATGTCCTTGGAGGCACGGCAGGCCATCGAAGAGCAGGTGCCTCCCGTGCTGGCGTGGGAGGGTGGCGCGCATTGATGTTCTCCTCCTGCCCAATCACTTGTCCCTCAAGATCCTCAGAGGGGCCATTTCGGAGCTCTCGGATCATGATTGGAACAAACATGACGTGCCAAGTGACGGAACCACACTTGCTTTGTCCAAGCAGAAGTTTGATACTGGAATGGGGCAGAGCCAATACCCACTGCCCATGCAAACTGCGAAAAGATGGTTGCAGGGATGCAGCCCCTGCCCTGTCTTGCTGATTCCTACCAAAAGGATCCAAAAGGAGGAGTCAGTGAGGCTTGATAGACTTACAAATGGACGTGGTCAACAGCGCCCCCTCCAAAAAGAACCTGATGAATTGGAAGCCGTGGTGAAGGAAGGCCTCCTGGAAACCTTCGGACCCCCCCCAACGTGGACGCATGCAGGTGGCCCAGCTCTTTGGAGATCCCCAAGAACTCTGGCAGAGGCAAAACGGCTAAGCTGCTCCGGACACGCTCCGGACACTTGGGATGTGGAATTGAAGAAGACAAGGTCGACCATTTTGCCTGTCCACGTTCAGCTCAAGAACTCCGTATCCTGCTCCTTCTTAACTTGCAAGATACGGTCACCCGGTCACCCCTTTTGATGTTCGACTGTGCGGAGTTGCGTGTTGACACTTGATTGCCGGAGTTTCGGTCTCGGCTCGTCTCGACTGCATGTCGGCCAGGCTGCAGTCTGTCCTGGGGCCGGTGCTGGGTTCAGACAATGATCTCCATCGGCTGAGGCAGCGACTTGTCGTGTGAGCTGAAGGGCTGAAAGAAGCCTCATCCTTGGTGCAAGTTGAAATACTAGTAACACGTGCATCGCTACTAGTAACAAGGGCAGTACTACTAGTAGCTAGAAGCTAGTAGCGATGCCCTTGTTACTAGTAGCTTCTAGCTACTAGTAGTAGTAGTAGTAGTAGTAGTAGTAGTAGTAGTAGTAGTCGTAGTCGTAGTCGTAGTGGTAGT